AGCCGTAGCCGTGATTTCTTGGATTAAAAAAACTTCCTCGGCTATGCTGGAAGACAGTTCGGATTATAATAAAGGCTTCCAAAAACCCAACTCGACTACTTGGAACAAAGTTATTGCCAACAGTCCCAGCAAGAGGGACCAAGTCTTAATGATTGACCCCGACTTTTTACAAGAAATCGAAACCCGATTTTTATCCGATGTAGGTAATTTTGAGTTAGTTAATTTAAAAAGTATGTTTTTGGAAACTATCGAACGGAAAATGCTCAACAAGGTAAAAGTCCAAATCCGAGATATTAACTCGTTTGCTTATACCATTATTGCCGAGGACGGCATACGGAGTGAACCCATTGCCGCTAGTGGTTCGACCAAGTTTTATTTTCAACCGACTGTCATCGGGGGAGTTATTCCTTTTGCTAATGCTCGTGCTTTGGTAAGCAAATAAGCAATGAGTTGACAAGCCCAACAATTAAGGTGAGAAATAGCCAAGTTAAAACAACATTGGCAAGTTAGGGAACAAGAACTTTTAACCATTAACCCCCAGGCTAAAAACTTCCTGGACTTGGCAAAGGAACGAAACGACATCAAAAAAGATGCCGAAGCCATGGACCAATTTTTCCGCGAGGAGTGTGGTTTCTTTTCTTACGAAGATGCCCGAGCCCAATTAGACGGCCGAACGGTGTCCCAAATCCTCCGACAACTCCAAATCAGTAAGGAAGTTATTCAGAGTTTAAAAACTGACCTGGCAGCTAAGGAAAAGCCCAAAAAGACTACGGGAATCCAAACAGATTTAACAGACAAGCAAATTACTAACCTTATCCAACAATGAGAGCAAGTAGCCCAATGAGCCAAAGAACTCGGCATTGACACGAATAAAAAGTGAAATTTGGGAACTCTGAAAAAGAAATATTCCCACATTCACCAAGCCCAACCCGTTTTTAACCAGTTGGAAAAATTGGTCGAGGCTGGTGGCCGATTTGATATTTTTGAACAGAATAAAAAGCAAATCCAACAACAATTAACCCAACTCAAAAATCTCCTGTCATGGTAGAACATCCCAATTTAAATCCCCAAGAAAAAAATCCCCATAAAGATCTCTGGAAGGCCCTTATTTTGGAGTTTTGCCATAATTACTTTATCGGCATTAGTCATTTGTCGTGCTCGGAAGAAAATTGCCCGTTAGTTTTGCATTGGGACGACTTGGAAGAAAAGAACAGCAAAAAAGGCAAAAGCACTCTACTGCAAGTCAGTAAAAAAGAGCCTAAATTTCTCGTGGTTGATTTAATGGAAAATGACGAAAACGACTGGGGAGAAATGGAAAAGCTAGTAATCCGTTATAAATCCGGTCGAACTCAACGAACCAAGCCCCACGACTACCAAGAGCCCCAAAACCCCGAAAAAAAGGAAATATTTTTGAACCCGGCCGAGTTGGTGTGCTTTTTCAATAATCCTACTCATGCCCCTAATTTAGTCGGAGCCGAAGACATTTATTTAGAATGGTTATGAAATACCCGAGCCAAAATCCAATGGGACCAA